TCAAATCATAATCAAGAAGGATAAGCTGCTTGATTTTCAAAACTCTTAAGATTACAAGAACTTTAATGTGATGTCTTTCTGCTTTCCAGACATAAATTCTGACCCTGTAGTGTTTTGGACAACTTTGTAATTTATATAGCAGACTCCACTATTTCACTTCTTTAACCTGCCTCATATTAAGTGAGCTGCAATATCATTAATCATGTTTAATCATGATTTAAAGGCCTTGTATAACAGTCTATTATATCCCAGGCAAATTATTTTAAATACATATTTATACCAATTAAAGTTTAAAAACTAGAAAAACTTTAATACTTCTAAGAGTTCATCTTGGTTCAATTGTCTTTTAAAATGTCTTTGCCTTCAAACAGAAACCTTCTAGTGTGATAACACACTAGTGTTTTGGCTACTGCTAAGCAGTGCTGGCACAGCATCAGCACTGTCCCTCAACATTCCTCCCCACCCAATTGAGGACAAGATCCTGGGAGGTTACACAACCAGGCCAGCTAACCCAAATTAAGCGAAGGGATATTCCACACCATGTGATGTCAGCTCAGACATAAAAGCTAAGGATCGGAGAAGGAGGCTGGAGGGCATTCATTTTTTACCATGTTTGCCTTCTGAGCAACCACTACGCATGCGGAAGCCCTGCTTCCCAGGAAGTGGCGAGACATCACTCACTAACGGGAAGTAGAGAATAAAACTTGTTATTTTCCTCTTCACTTCTGCAAACTTTCACGTTTCCTTTAGTAAACTGATCTCAACCTACATATAATTTTCCATCTTATTCTCTCTCCCCTGTCTGGTTGGGAAAGGGAGTGATAGAGCAGCTTAGTAGGCAGCTGGTGTCAATCCAAGGTCAACCCACTACATGCTGCTACAGACAAGTTATTTGTGCAGGTAGTAATGGTGAAGTGGAAGCTATGGAAGTTAAGCACATCACTTTTAATGATTTACATTGCCTGTCAAACAGACAAAACAGCCACTGGCATCTCATCTTGCAAAAAGTAAATAAACATACACACCCCTCTACATCCAACACACACTTGTTTCTATCGACATGCCAGTGTCCTGGAATTTACCACCACTTAGCTCCACTGGAACAGTAGAGGGACTGACTCCAAAAAGCAAAATGAACTAACATGCATAGGGGTAGGTACTGTATTAAGTGATTAATTCAATATAAAACCATAAAAAGAAGTGTGAAGCCTAATTGTCTAGCATCATCAGCTGGCTAAACATGAACCAGCAGTGTGTTGAGGTGGACAAGAAGGTCAGTGGTATCCTGGCTGGGATCAAAAATGGTATGGCCAGCAGGACCAGAGGAGGGATTGTCCCCATGTACTCAATACTGGTGAGGCCACACCTGTGTCCAGTTCTGGGCCCTTAACTTCAAGAAAGATACTGAGGTGCTGGAGTGAGTCCAGAGAAGGGCAATGAAGCTGGTGAAGGGCCTATGAGGAGCAGCTGAGGAAGCTGGGTTTGTTTAGCCAGGAGAAAAGGAGTCTCAGGGGAAACCTTATTGCTCTCTACAACTATCTGAAAGGAGGTTGTAGCAAGATGGGCATTGGCCTCTTCTCCCAGACAGCTAGCAACAGGACAAGAGGACAGAGCCTCAAGCTGCACCAGGGGACATTCAGACAAGACATCAGGAGGAATTTCTTCATAGAAAGGGTTTTTAAGCATTAGAATGGACTGCCCAGGAAGGTAACACATTCTCCATGCCTGGCAGTGTTCAAGAAATGACTGGATGTGACACTTAGTGCCACGTAGGTCTACCTGATACAAGGTGTTGATCAGTCAAAAGTTGGACTTGATGATCTTAAAGGTCTTTTCCAACCTAAATGACTCTGTGATTCACATACAGGTTGTACAATAGAAGCCTGAATGTGACAAGTCTCTTCCTTGACTCAGTCTTGATGTGAAACTTTCCAGCTTATTTGGCGTGCAATATTTTTATGCAAGAAATTTGAAAGGCAAAAATATAAAATGCAATTAGAAACAGTAAAAGGATTATTTAACATCCACGTATATTTAAAAGCCCTCTTATCAATTTCGTAAATGATAAACCACTTCTCTCTAAGCAGCAAGACCACTCACAAAAAAATAAAAAAATAATCCTGGTGTCATGTTATGAAGAGAAAATCATAAAGGAAGTTTAGATATGGAATTTCCCTTTACATCATCACTGGCCAATGTCAATGGAGAATTGGCCTTATTCACCTAAATTTTCATTCAGATGACTCAAACATGACTCACTCATACCTCTGAGACATAGAATACATTGCTGGTAAATATTTGATAAACACAACTTATGATAATGGCAACTTACATCCTTTTCCTTCCCCTGGCATTTGTAAGAGAACAACTCCCGACCTGTTAAAACAACATCAGAGACTCAATACCGATTTTGAATGCAAAAGACTAGAGGCTAAAACTTTCACAAGAAATAGTCTTGAATTCTAAGCTGTACTCGCAAGCTCTTATATTTTTCACATCCCAGAGTTTCTTATTATCCAGTTTTTGATGTATTCTGAATAAAAGCAACCTTTTTTTTCAGTCAAAGATGAGCCTCTGTTCTCAAAGTACACAAAAGGCAAAGCAAGTTTGCTTCTAATGCAGTTTGGATTTCTGATCACGCTGTGGAGCAAAATGTTTTTGCATTTCACTTTAGAGTCAGGATGGGATAGGGAGAAAAAAAATCAATAACCTCCCCACAAATATCACAAACCAGAAGAACCTTTGGCCTGAAATTATAGTTCAGTGAGGAACATTGGATTAGAGAGGAAATTTTTTGCTTTACCACTAAACCAAATAAGTTCGTATGCCTTTCTGGACTGCCTCTTAGCTTCAACACGAGCAAAGAAAAAACTTCACCTAATCTTGCCTTATGACTAGGGCAGCTCTTTTGCTACAGGATCTCTAGGTTCAAGATCCGTGAGGTTAGGGACATATAGAACGGTAGCCTTTGTTTCTTCAATGTCACAATCCAAGGATACTGCATAAAAAGCAATAAGTATTTCCTCCTCTGTTGCATTTTCAGAAGATAGCTCCGTATTTGAATCAAGCAAAGAGGCTTGGAAAGGGAAGCTTTGAGAGATACGCACTAAGGCAACCTTTTACAATTGCTGGTCTCTGCTAGATGGCTTTAGCATACTTCCCTTCTGGAGCCAAAAGAAGTTTTCCAGAGGTTGTTCTTTTGGCTTGGTTGGTTGTTTATTTGGTTCATTTGGTGGTTTTTTGTTGTTGCTGTTTTTGTGGGATTTTTTATGTAACAGGAACATGGCAACCTATTTTTGTCATCTGAAAACCTGTCTCCATTACTTCATGTTTAATCTGTTTTCCCAATTTCATTTCACAGTCTACCAGGCAATTCAATCAGCTTAATCTTTGAGCAGCGGTAAGAATGACTGCTGTTAAATCTGCAACGTTTCTTTTGCTCAAATGATCAGGGAAGCCTACAAGATGAATTGGATATACCTTGCTTTGGCCAAAAGGCAATATCTATCAGTTTCTAAATTATATTTATTTCATCTGTTTTTCTTTCATTTGAAGTTTTTTCCCTGAACTTTCTTAGTGTTAAGTCGGATTAGTAACTGTGTAGCTGTGTGGATGGCATTTTGGATTTCTGATCTTAAAAGATTACAGTATCACAGAATGGCTAAGGTTGTATGGGACCACAGTGGGTCATCTGGTCCAATCTCCCTGCTCAAGTAGGGTCATCCTAGAGTGTGTTGCAGAGGATTGCATCCAGATAGTTCTTCAATATCCTCAGTGAGGGAGATTCCAAAATCTCTCTCGGCAGTCTATTTATATATTTTAGTTCTCAAATTATTCCATATATTACCTTCTTCCACATTCTGAAGAGATTTTTGAGTGAGGGAGCTAGATGAACAAAATCAAGTCCTGGTACTTCTAGGTTCCATGTCCCCATTTCATGCACAATCACCTTCCCACCTGCAACTAGTGGCTCAATATTGCTATCCTTAACTGAATCCTAAAGTAAGGCAATTGACTACACTGAGGTGGTTTAGTATGCATGCTTGCTTACTTTAGTTAAAAAGTACAACATAGATGTTTGTCAGTCATGGTTATTTTAATATACTAAGTGCATCAGTAGTCACTTGAGATTAAAAATTTAATAGCTGAAACAATTATTGAAGATACGGTAACAAAAAACACAGAGAATTTGCCAAAGAATAGTTATCTCTCATTTCATGCATTTTAATTTGAGACTTCAGTGCCAAATCATATTAGAGGCACTGAGCCACATGCTTTATTCTCTCCTTATCATCAGGCTTACTCTGAATATTCATAGTTCGCAACAGACAGATTATTCCTCATAATGTCATCTTGCATCATTGACCTCTCTCCGAAAAAAATGAAAACAGAACATCTAGCACTTCTCAGAATGTGGTCTTCTGGCCTGTAAACTTAATATTGAATCAAAATTTAATAATGAAGACTATATTTTTACCAGATAAAAATATTTTCTTTGCCTTTAAAAATGAAATTTCTGGGGAGTTTATGGAATAAATCCTGCATAAATTTCTTTTAAACAGTAGAACAACTTTAGCTGGATCAGATATTTTTTTATATAGGCTTAGCCCCAAATCAGAAAAACACAACACTGCAGTGCAGAGGGCAGACTTAAAGATCCAAACTGTCAGTATTTGCATTTTGCTAGTGCTCTGAAAATGGCCCCAACTGGGACTATAACACAATTAGCTACCTATGAATAAAAAGATTAATTCCTAAAGCAACAATACAAAAAGTCAGATTCGATGGGAAAGGACATAGTGTCAATTTATCTTCAATGAAGTAATATTATTTGTATATATTATAAAAAGTAGTCAACATGCAGCTGCCCAAACTGTTTCTTAATATTCAGTATTTGCACAGGAAATTCTCAATGATCTAATAAGTTTTGGAAGTTGAGAACCTGCTGGCCTGCTTGACTAATGTCTTTCTCTGTGCTGAATTCTCCAAAACCATCTAGTATTGCAGTTCATCGCAGTGTCCCAGTAGCTGAAAGAAAAAAGAGTTGCAGAAAGTCTCACAGGCAACATGAATGATCAGTGAAGATTACAATTAAAATTGGTAAACGTACAGACTTTTATTCCTGATATAAACTGTCACTTTCTTACATGTTACCACCTTCCTAAAAACCTAGATAGATAAAGGCCTGACACACACCCTTAATGGTGGTGCTTCTGCCAGTATTAGTGTTTAAATATATAGGAGATTCTGTATTAAAAAGTAGGGTCTATATGTTACCCATGACTGGGCTGTGAGGGAATTAAGAAAAAAGCATGGAGGAAAAAGATTCTTTCTTCAAGTCAATGGAGGTGAGAAGCAATAAATGTATTAAGAACATGTTATTGCAGCATTTTAGCACTTAAGAGCTTATATTTTTAGTACACTAGTCACTAAACTGGAACTGTAAACTTCCGTCTTGGGCACCTCCCCTGCGAATAGGTCATATCCAAGTGGGATTTAAAGACAGACAGTAAGAAATACTGAAGAAAATTGCAGACAAAAACCTATACCCTCTTTGGGTCATAGATGTTTTATTTAACTGCAAAGAGATTTCCCTGTCTTTCAGGAATAGCATAGATGAAGAAACCAGAGGAAAACTGAACCTTAAATGTGAGAACAGGGAAGAAGAGATTATTTCATCAGGAGATGTATCCATGTTGATAAATAGGTAGTTAGATCCCGAAATTAGTAGACAGTTCCAATGAAGAACATAATATACAGTCAAACCCAACTAAAAATGTTTCAGTAAGCAGTTAATCACTTGTTAATGCATTAACCAATTAACATTTGTGAACATTAACCAATCAACACTGAATAAGCCTAACTGGAAAAATAAATCAAAATGTGTCAGTGTTTTTAATACATGGACTCCTACTCCTCACTTCTAAATAAAGGAATATACTGAATAACTTGAATTTGATTCAAGTTTTCATGACAGAGAAAGTTCTCTTGTCTCTGAAAAGAGAATTACTTGTATACCAACAAAAGCATTAAACTGTAAGTGCATGGGACCAAATTCCCTGCAGCATAAAGTCATTAGAGTGAGTCTCCCCTTGAGGGAACAGAATTAGGGAAATATTTAGCCAATACTAATACTGAAAAATTTATAATCAAATCACAGTGAAAGTGGACTGACTGCAGCAAGAGCAACAATTTGTTTTCGTTGGTGGCTTGGAGCCTATTGAGAAAATTTGGAAATTTAATTAAGAGATTAAAGCCTTCGGAAGAGCAATTTTGTAAACACTTTAAAAGAAAAATCAGCTTTATTGCCAATAAAGCAAGTCAGTTTAAATGAAAAAAACCCAAAACACACAAGTCCATTCTCCCATGACTAAAGACTAAAAATATAATGCTTGTTTCCTTTCTTGTGAGTAAAAAAACATTTATCAGTTGTTTTAGGAACTTTAATATGTTAAAAGTGTTCTATTTTCATTGCATCAGAAGCAAGATAGTGAGTTGGACTTAAAAGTTATCAAAGACCAAAAAATGAACGTATTTGTCTGGCTGCACTTTGGTTTGGGCTTGACATATTGATGTCCAGTCAAGTGAAAGAATTTAATTTTTATGATGGAGATTTTTGGTAAGGAGTTTCCTTAAGTCTTTGGCAGGCCATGAAATAGTAGAAAGAGAAAAAAACCTTACAGCGTGCATTCATTTTTATGGGAGTGATGACTTCCTTACAGATACAGAAAAACATCCTTGCCATTTTATTCTTTATTGCTGTATTGTGTACGTCACCATTATTTTTAAATTATACTTAATTTTAAAGAATTAATTAAATAATAGATGACTATGTGACAGATGAATCAATGATTCCCCTGAAGATTACACTACATAAGAACTTGTGGCCTAATATAGCATTTAAAATATATAATGGTGCCCATTATTGTTGGCTAAGACAAATATTACCACAGCAGTCAAAAAGAAGAGTTCCCACAACAGTCAGTGAAAACTGCTTATCAAATTATGCATACCATATGGCCCAAATAATAGGATTCTTCACACTAAATAAGTGGAAGTGTTAGAAAATCCAAAGACAAAGAAATAAATTACTACATTTAAGTAATATTTTCCCCCAGTAAATACTATTTCTTCTTCACCAAAAAATGGATGTCAGTTGCTTTCATTTTTTTTTAACCATAATTACATCACTAGTGAAAGAGGATGTATACTTAGCCAATGTTAGCATTTAAAAAAACCTAAAATTATTTTACTTATTTTATATGTTCTTCTTCCTATTTCAGGTCAGAACTTTCTCTGGAAAATCAAGCCAAAAAGTGCTGCATAATAAGCTGGATAACATCACAAGGAGAATTATTTTTTAATGGTCATTCCCCTCCATCAAGGATACGGAAAAAATCAAACTTGAATTAAACAAAGAAACAGGCAGCTGATAGGAGCAAAAAATATCAGCAATGTTTCTCTTCACTGAGATTCCATAGCAACTACAGTTAGCTTATACAAATTAATGTGAATTTTGGGACCCCTGGTGCCCTAGTGGTTAGCATGCGGGACTCTCACCGCTGCGACCCAGGTTCGAATCCCAGTCCCCCGGGCAGATGGAGCCCGTTAGCCCTGTGAGGCCATCCATCTATGAGAAGGTCACTCTAAACAAACCTACGTCCTGAGGACCTCACTGCCATTGTCCAAGCTTGCTTGGCCCCGGCAGATGAACCTTAGGATTAAAGGGTGGGCTCAGTTCAGCGCAGGCTGTGTCTCACCTAAAAAATCCATTGCGCAGGCTGGAAAGGTAAAAGACCTTTCCCAAAATCTTCGTTCGCGAAGACTGGCCATTATTATTAAATGTGAATTTAAAGGTTGTATCAAACCCCTACATTTTAGTATCAGTAGCAACGCATCATAACAAATGGTCATGCTCTCAGTGCTGAGACAGCATCTCAAATGGCAGACACGCCTGAAATTCCACCATGTTTCCTTTGGATAGTGCCTTCACATATTCGCAAGCAGGATCAGCAAACCTCAGATAAACTACTATCCAAGTAAGAGAACCTATGCGTCTTTGTCATATCAATTCCATTGTTGTGGGTATTTTTTTCCCTCCTCAGATTCTGCCGTGCATATTTTCCCTGAAAGTAGGAGCTTTTTCATAAAGGTTTATCACCATATTTTGACAGTACAAAGCAGCTGTCATACCCACATATGCACACACCATGGTTAAAGTCACACATATTTCTTTTGGTTTGAGCAAAGGTCAAGGTAGCTGCTGTTACATGCTGCAATCCAGAATTCTTCCTGCCTTTGTTGTCCATTATAAGAAGACACAAAAATGCTAATTTCCCACATCACATCAGATGTGGGATCTTTTATGATCTTTTATGATCCCATTGGATTTTCAAAATAACATGACACATAACACATTAAACTGTCTATAGAGAGGTACTTCCAACAAATTCTTGAGGCCCACCATCAGGGAATGGGCCACTTTTCTAGTGAGACTAATGGAAACAATTTGTGAAAATAATCAAGGAAGTAATGAGAATAAAGTTAATTAGTTATCTTCATCTGATGCCATGATGTTTTACGGTGAAGGAAAATTTTTTATACTGTTCTTGAATTTAACCCAGTTACAGTTTGTCTGATTGATTTGAACTCTGCAACCACTGTACACAATTAAAATCACAGAATCGTAGAATCAGCTAGGTTGGAAAAGACCTCCAAGATCATCAAGTCCACCCTTTGACCTAACATAACCCTGTCAACTAGACCATAGCGCTAAATGCCATATCCAATCTCTTCTTAAATACCTCCCTGAACAGTGACTCCACCACCTCCCTGGGTAGGCCATTCTAGTGCTTAGTCAGTCTCTCTGTAAAGAATTTCTTCCTAATGTCCCTTCCCTGGCTCAGCTTAAGACTGTGTCCTCTTGTCCTACTGCTGGTTGCCTGGGAGAAGAGATTGATACCCACTTGGCTACAACCTCCTTTCAGGGAGTTGTGGAGAGTGATGAGGTCTCCTCTGAGCCTCCTCTTCTCCAGGCTGAACAACCCCAGCTCCCTCAGCCTCTCCTCATAGGACTTGTGCTCGAGTCCCTTCACCAGCCTCGTTGCTCTCCTCTGGACCTGCTCCAGCACCTCAATATCCTTCCTGAACTGAGGGGCCCTGAACTGGACACAGTACTCCAGGTGTGGCCTCACCAGCGCTGAGTACAGGGGCAGAATCACTTCCCTGGTCCTGTTGACCACACTGTTCCTGATCCAGACCAGGATACCATTGGCCTTCTTGGCCACCCGGGCACACTGCTGGCTCATGTTCAGCTCCCTGCTGATTAGAACCCCCAGGTCTCTCTCCACCCGGCTGCTCTCCTGCCACTCTGTGCCCAGCCTGTAGCGCTGCCTTGGGTTGTTGTGGTCAAAGTGCAGGACCTGACGCTTGGCCTTGTTAAACATCACACCATTGGATTTGGCCCATCTATGCAGCCTGTCTAGGTCCCTCTGTAGAGCCCTCCTATGCTCCAGCAGATTGACATTTCCCCCCAACTTGTTGTCATCTGCAAATTTGTAATGGCACACTCAATCCCCTCATCCAGATCATCAACAAAGATATGAAATAGGACTAATCCCTGGGGTACACCACTAGTGACTGACCGCCAACTGGATGCAGCGCCGTTCACCACCACTCTCTGGGCCCAGCCCTCCAGCCAGTTCTTAACCCAGCACTGAGTGCCCCTGTCCAAGCCATGGGCTGCCAGCTTTTTCAGAGCTATTGGATTCCTAAAGGAGAATGGAGTGTTGTCAATTTGTGAATCATAATTCCTTCATATCTTCCATTATTTCTAGGAGGAGGTAGACTTTTTTCAGCATTAATTATTTCAATATTCTGCTTCAGTACAGTAAGATATTTGCCCTGTATTATGTTGCCTTAAGATCACGCTCGGGATCCAAAAATAGACGCATCAGGCAATCATTAGTAGAGATAAGGCAGAGAGCAGCTTTAATAGAAGGTCTTCCACCTGGGAGTACAGAGATACAGGCCACGTGTCCAGGGGGTTCCAAAATTCAAGGTATTTGTCCATCCAATCCCAGATCTATCTGCCCCGCAGATCCTCCCCCTGGCACACCTCTCTGGGAACTGAGTCAGGGGTCCTAAGACCCCCTCTTCCTTATCTTCCTCTTTGTCACAGCACATCCGGTCCTTGGAGCTCCTCCAAGGCTCTGGGTTAGAAGGATGCTTTGTCTGTCATGGCACCTTGTTGTAGAGGCCTGGGGTACGATGTTCTTAAACAGAAAGTCCTACCTTGAGGGAAGTCTAAACAAACTAAAGGCATTTAGAAGATTTGATATGAAATGGGGAAAAGGGTTTGGGTAAATGTGTAAACTACTGCATATCTGCAGTTATTTGAACAACTTGAAGAAAAGATGTTTGTATTTAACAGCTTTTATTAAAACAGAAAATACAAAACTTCTCTTTTATGAATTTGTTTAGTTGTTTTCTAAAATAATGGAATTTTCAGCATCCAGAGTAGTCAAGAGATAAGATGTATCATGCAGTCCATAGGTCAAGACATTTATGGAAGCACAGGTATAACTGCTGCTGGTACTTGGGATAGGGTGAGAAGAAAAATAGAGCACAGTTGGATGACTACATAGCCTCCTCGTTTTAGGTAATTTAGTGCACATTTAGACACACAGAGTCACTTTAAAATCTCCCAAATACATAAAAGAAAAAGTCTGCTTCATCTCTTATGAACTGTGATTATGACCTGCTTAACAGTATACAAACATTTCCGGTTTAAACTGATAAAGTAGATACACTGCTTGTCACTCTGAATTTTAAGGTTCATCTCCATGGACTTCCTGAAGACAGACACCCTAAGTGCTTTGACTGTTCACACAATTTTGTACACTAAGTACCTCAGTAAATCAAATTTATCGTGTTATTTATTTTTCATACTTCTCTGCCCCAGTAATTTCTGCTAAATAGAATTCTCCCTTCCCACTATGCTTCCTCTCAGGAGAGTTATTGGTCGCGCATATCGAAGGATAAGAAATTCTTACTTTTCATATTTTGTGCAACTACCCGAGAGCAACACTCCCAGCAGAAATTAAGCCTCAAGCTAAAGTTTTACTATGGGACCAGTAAGAACTAAGCATTATTTGAATTGCAGTTGCTAGAAAATATCAGTGCTCTTTCTTCTCAGATTTATAATCTAATGAATGAAAGTAATTGTATTATTCTGCAGCGACACATGCAATTGACATTCCACAGAATGATAGGCCCTAATAGCAACCCCAGTAAAGCCAAAGTAATAAAAAAACTCTGCTTTATGCAGAGCAGACACTACACTGACATCAAAACAGCAACTTTAAAACTAGAGGGCAAAAGGGTTTATTGTGTAATCTTCAATCAAGCTAAACACTGTCTGTGCACACCATACGATTTTTCTTCATCGAGGTTAGTGTCATTTTGCTGTGCTTTCCCCTACTTTCTAACAATGATTAATTTCATTACACCCCAGGAGTAAGGGTTAGTGAGTAGGAGTTTGAACAGGTGGAATAAATATAATTTTAGAAAACAAACTGAAGCTTTTCTAGTGAAAGATTTTGGCAGCAAAGATTAAGAAACCAGATTTGCTTGTGACAATTCGACCCCTTTTCCAACTCAAATATGACTTTATGTTAACCTCAAAATATAGTCACAGGGAAAAAAACCCCCATCATTGCTTTTCCATAGCAAAACCCAGCAACAACATCAAAACCCTTGCAAACTTACTCCTGTTAGGAATAAACATTTTAGTTAGGGGTAGGAAAGGGCAAAAAAATTGTTATAACTTCTGCTATGGGTATTTTGCTTTATCTGGGTGATAGCAAAGGGTTGCATTTTAGGAATTTATGTCTATAGCAGTTTCACGGACAAAGGGTCATAAATCAATTCCTATTGGGAGCCTATTTGCACTCACAGCTTTTTACAGGGACAAAACAATTTTGAAAAGAAGATTTCTAGGGTTCAGATAGCATACCTGAACATCAATCCTCTTAGTAAATACCGTATTCCCAAGGTGTTACTCCTATTAAAAAAGTAATACTAAAAGAATTTTCAGGTTTCTTTTAACACTTTATTTCCACATATATCACTCTTTTCCTATCAAGTCCAACACTGATTCTGCTTTTGTTGGTATTATGTGTTTTCTAATAGAGGAGAACTGGGGGTAAAAAAAATTCAAAAACACATAAAAGAACCCAGAAAAACAAACTTCACCACCCCAAACCAAAACATCCTGTTTATCCAAATATTAATTGGAATGAACAAGACCTGAAAAATTCTCTTTGTACTGTGCAACTTCTATAGCTGCAGTGAAGCCTCTCTGGTATGACATCTTCATGTTTATTAACTCTATGTCTATAGACTGTGTATCATTGGTGAGATATTAATAATGAGAACCTGTGACAAAACCAGCAGACAAGTCA